GAAATTAATTCTAACTATACAACTACCTGAAAATATTTATTGAATATAATGAGTAACAGTAAAACCAAACCTGATTCTGAATGTACATAGAGACCAAACTTAAAATATGACCCAACAGTCTAACTTTACTGCATTAAGGGTGAAAATGCAAACAGAATGGAAGCTACTGATCAGTTATAGTATTCAGTAATTTTCAGCTATTAGTATACTCTAGGAAATTATCACACCTCTCTGCATAGATGTATTTCCAAACGCTCAGGGATGAATTAACAATAATATTATATGCAAAATATGCAAGACAAAGGGGTTAATTCAATTTACCTAATATAGATAACATAATAGCTCAAAACTGCAAGCAGATCTAGTCAATCCTCTTTATGAAAAGCATGTTTCACAAGAAAGCAGAAGCAAGAGAAAACATCTAGAAAATGAAAAATGGTTAGGCGAACTGAACTGATTTGAAAAAGCAATTGAAAAATCATTTTGGTAGAGCGAACAGCAAAATTTGACTTGTAACCCATAACAACAAAAATATCTACTTCCTTACTGGTTGTGATATGAAATTAACAGCCCTTGTCCCTTTCAATGTAAAATGAGCTGATTTAATTTAAATCAGCGTTGATAATTCTTGCACTACATTTCATACATAAATTCTCTCATGTGTTCTATACTAAGACACATTTTTATAAAGAGAGTAATGTTGCATTTCTGTCTAAATGTGGGAAACCTAAAATGAAATACTACTCTTCTATAAAACAGAACTGAGTAGACTCTCAGAACCTTTGCAAAATGCCCCAGGCACAGAACATAACCACCCAGTGATGGTGGCAACATCATCTTCAATATGTTGAATTATTACATAAAAGTGCATGAAATTTCAAGATCTCGTCCTCTGAAATTGTTGCAAAAAAATGAACAGTGTTTTAATCTGTTTTCTCTTAGTTTAAAAAACAAGCAAATAAATTCAAACAAACAAATTCAGTGACATGTTACAGTAACACACAATGTGTTAAAAAAACAGTATAATGACAAATTAGAACTACTAAAAAAAGCAGTAAATATTCTGGAGGAAAAGGAGCACTCAAAACCTCTCAAGTGAATATAGACCTATATCTCATGTATGTAGTGACATCAACAGTCTAAAATAATAAAAAAATAATAATCTTACTTTACCTTCCTCTCAAACAATCCTCACAAGGCGTGTGAAAATTTTATTTAAAAATGGCACAAAACTAAGAGAAATTTCAACTTTTAAGGGGGTAACTGAAACATTTTTCATTTGCAGAAGCAGAAATTTGCATGTTTGATTTTATTCCCTGGTGCTACTCCGCTGTACTAGTTAGTGAAGAAAATCACAATTTTCCCTCATGTAACCCAATTACAGCAAGAAGTTACACCAGGAAAAACTCAGTCTCATATAAACTGCAAAGATCACGCTTCTGAAAGGAACACATTAACTTTTTTTTTGAAAAAAGTACGAGACCATTTTCAGGACTAATTAACATTAAAAGGCAGAGTTAGATTAACATTCAAATTTTAACTTGAAATTGCATTTAGTAAAAATGAAACGTTTTCAATAAACCCTAGCATTAAACAGAAAATTGAAATTTTGCTGCTTATTAGCACAGAAGTTTCATTTTTGAAAAGCTAATAACCAGAATTTTCATGTGAATGGAAATTATGCACAGAAACAAGAAGCAATAAGAAATATCACAAAATCAGCAACATGACAGATCTTAAAGCAGCTGCTCGTCCTTCTTGAATCTTGACTGAGATTGTTGATCAACTTTAAAGCCAAGGCATGCTATTTTCTGACAGTACATGGGGAGAATTAATAAGTATTTGGTTCATGTACAGCCCTTCAGTTTACAAATTAAAGAGCCCATAAAATTAATGTTGAATCTGTTAAGAAGCCAAATATTTGATTTAAAACATTTTAAACTTCTGCACAATTCAATAAAGATCTTCATGCTGCGCACACAAACAAGAAAATAAAAGCTTGTGGTATCTAACAGCAAAATGTATTGATACTGCTATGGATAACCCAGCTCCACAATATTTACTTTATTTGAAAAATATATTTATAGAATAACTAGTGGCAAAAAAAATATCAGTGGAATATGTATTGTTTTAAAGCATTCAAGAAAAAAAAAACTATTCAATATTATGCATAGCTTAAAATACTTAAAAAACCTGTTGCATTTAATGTTCTTTTATATTAAGACATTTCAATAATTTTTAATTAAAATTTAATATAAAAATTGTTCTCATAATTAAAAGAAATTAAATTTTATAAAATTTTATTTTGGTATAACCAGTTTTAATTTCAGCTTCTTTGCCCTAACCCCATTAAGGTTTAATACAATCTCCATATATCTTTTTATATCTTTATTGCTTAATGGGCATATATTCAGAAAAACAAATAATTACAGCTATTCTTTGGTAACACTGCCATCTAGTGTACACTCTAAATTAGAATGAAGCATTTCTTTGAATTTTTTCAGTCTGCAATTTAGCCTAAGGGAGAATTACCCTCCATGTACACACTATGTGCTCAGTACTACTTAACTGTGCGTTGGAATAATGACATTTTTGTCTTACGCATGTTAAATATGCAGACATATTAATTTTGAAAAGACACTGTAAATTTCTGTTATATAATACATTCACATCTTAAGTATACCAAGATGGTTTTGATAGCCAAAAATAAGAGAATATACAGCTAACATCCTACCTACAAATTCTACCACGTAGTACTCCAAGTCTTATCACCATTCCCTTTCACATTACTTGAATAAATTACACTGAAATTCGCTCCTTGAGACTGACTTAAGTTCAGGCAAAGCTCTAAATTTCACACTTGCATTTGGACAGTCAATTGTTTTGCTTTTTGCTCGTTCTTTCATCTTATGCCTTAAAAGTTGCACTCTTTCCATCATAAAAAAAAAATAAAAAAAAAATTGTTGAAATTGTCACAGTAACAGTGTCTTCAAAAGCTTGAAGACAGAAAGGCAGAGAGAAAGAAAGAAAAAAAGGCTTATAACACTAAGTACTTTTGTGGTGGATCAGCAGCAGATTTAGAGTACAAGTGAAATGAACCTGACCACTACTTTGTATCTTGTTTTCTTCTTGTTTCTGTAAGTCTCATAAGACTCAGTTTCTTACTGAACTAAACCTAGATTAATCATTGTTGATAAACTAACATTGTTAAACAAGACAACTGCCATTTGCCTCAGTATTCTGAGTTTCAGCTTCAACACTTCGTGTCTTAAATCAAAATACTCGCCACCTACAGCAAAGCACAAACCCAACATCCTGTAAGGCAAGCGCTGTGACTGATACCTTGACTGACAGACTTCCCAGTACAGTGAATTAAAGAATCAACGTAACATTCATAAAAAAGCAGTTCTCAGGCTACATCTGACAAAAACCAGAAAAAAAACAACGAGGTGAGCAGATATAGCTGGCCAAATTTATGCATTTTTATGAACACTAAGGTCCCCATGTTTTTTAACTCCAAAGTTGCTGTAAGTAGCTTACGAGGCTGCAGCCATCATCTAAAGTCTGGTCAGAAAGTGCCTGCTTCAACAACCTGTGGTGTCCCTTCATATGGCATTTGTCAATAGGAAACTTCACATGGCTTTGAAATACACACAGAGTTAGGGTTCCTTCTAAAAGCACACTGAATGAGTTGAGAGAAGAAAAGCAAGAAACAAGTTCAGGATGCATAACCATGTCTAAACTTGATTTTTTCAGTCACTTTCTGAACACCCCTGAAAGCTAATCCAACGACCACTCAAGGGGGTGCAGACTGTAAGCTGAAAAAATCACTCATCTGATTACATAAAAGTAAATGCTTGCATTTAAAGATTTTTGAGGTTGTTGCCAAATAATTTATCATGCCTCAGATCATACAATAACCTTTAACTACAGGAGGGAAAACATTATGTGAAGCTGTAAGTTGCTTACAGTATCTGTAAAGCACCTTGGTCCCCACCGCTATTAACAAAGATATTCACATACTGATTAAATAAAGGACTTCAATTCTCGAGCTCTTCTATTGCCTGATTTGACAATATGTGTATTTATGTTTGGCTATTCTACAAATTTGGGGGATGAATTCTGCAAAACGTTTGTGTGAACACTGAACAGCGATGATTAAAGCAGTAGCAAAATCATTTAGGTATCTTGAGCATAAATTTCCTAGAACTTCACAAGAATGCAGACATCAGATCTAAATAATCCTTGGTTAAATTTGAGATCTAGCAAGGAAAGGCAGAAAATATTTCTGTAAGTAAAACTTGAGCACAACTGAAAGCAGGAAAGAAATTGAGACCTTCTAAAGCAGACATGAAAGATCTAACAACCAAGTTGATCAACAGAAAACTATCTTTATTTATACAGAATAGGTATTTACACTTGACAAAACCAGAGCTCTAGAGAAAACTCTAGATTTACTTAATTCCACTCAACTCCATAGTTATGCTGCCATCTAGTGAAATGGGATACTGACTCTCCTTTGCAAGACTTAAAAGTTTGTCCAGATGAAAACCATTATCCCCAAGATACATGTATCACAGCAAATATCTTTTACCTGCGAATATCTTATTCTTCCCTCTGCTCCTTCTTCACCACTATATTTTTGTAACCTGCGTTACAAGGTGACTAATTGTGGCCCTAAGACAGTGAACATTTATACACGTAACTTGAAATGCAGACAAGCTAACAGACTTCAATGAGAAGCCAAGGAACTAACCAAAAAAGAGCACAATCTGGGATTAGGAAAAGGTAGCTATTAGAAGGTTTCAGACCATTACACAGATATTATCTTGAATTCATAGCTGGTAATACAGATAAACATTACTCTGAGACTTCAACTAAAATTTACTATTGTGGTTTTCTGATTACATTTCTTTAGAATGATGACTTACAAAAAACAATGTAAAACCTTTTTAAAAATTCCAGGCAGTAAAAAGGAAACAAACAAAGTACACACTTACCTGGGAAAATATATTTGCAGTTGGAGCGACTCTGTTGTCCACAATACTGTATAATATTGCTAACAATCTGTCCAGGGGAAATGGCTTTGGCCCAAGGAGGTGATTGCTGGTCTGTAACAGAAACGAGACTTTTCAATCCAATAGACATTTCCTTGAGCACCACGAGATGTTTCTCTCACCTCTTTTTAGTCTCTGGGGAGGCACTGTAATTCACAGCAGACTTTCATACAGCCTACTTATATATTATGGAAAACACTGAATACACGCCTATTGATCAAGATATAGACCAGAGCTCTATTTAACGTGGCAAGAGTTCAAACTGCACAATAAATAGGAACATTTTTGAGCTATAGCAGAGGATCTGATGCCAAATTTCCTGTCACTAGATTTATAGATTTGCTTGTCCTATCAAATTACCTTGCCCAATCTAAGGATTAAAGAGGAAAGACTACATTTTATCAGCAGTAAGACAGGCTAGGCTTCTTAAAAGCACACAGAATTTCTAGCTACTGAAAAAAGAAAATTTAAAGGTTTAGATTTATTTTATCGTCTAGACAGTCTATGAGCCACAACCACTTACGAAGAACTGCACATAACGGTAGTTTTTACAAATCTATAAATATATTAAACAACTTTTAAGACTATTTTTGTGTGTTTTGCTTACTGAAGACGAATACTTTACTAACATTTACATTTTAAAAAGGCACAAGAAGTGAAGATTCTGCTAACGTATCTATATATCCACTTTCTTTGAACCATTTTAGCCAAAGCCCCATCTCTTTCTCTCACAGAGGCGAGAGGTGCAAAGTCACAAGAATTCCTCATTTTAAATGCCACACTAAACAAAATCAATGGCTTCAGAAACAGTGTCAGCACAGTAACACATTCCCATTGCACTCTATAGAGATCTAGTCAAGGGAGCTAGAAGAATCCACTGGTAGATGCCCAGAAGCCAGGTGGCAAATAACTCTAAGCAGCCTGAGAAGGTCACCTCTGAACAGCGTAGGATCTTTGCTGGCTGCTGTACTTGGACACCTACATTAACCTGTCTCACCCTGCAAACACAACAGGGCCATGAAGATGATTAAGGGATTGGAGATCCCTCATCCAAGGAGAGGCTGAGAGCACTGGGATTGTTTAAGCTTGAGAAAAGGCGTCTCAGAGGAATTTCATCAAAATACCTGATAGGGAATGTGAAGATGATTGAGGCAGACTCTTCTCAGCAGTACCCAGTCAAAGGACAAGAGGCAATAGGGACAAATTGGAAATTGTGAAGCTATATTTAAATATAGGAAAAAATCAAACAAACCACCAAACATTTTTGCCTTGAGGGTAAATACAGCAACTTATTGCCTAGGTAGGTTGTGGAGTCTCCAGCCTTGGAGATATTCAAAACTCAACAGGGCATGGTCCTGAGCAACCTGCTCTAGATGACCCTGCTTGAGCAGGGGGGTTGGACTAAACCAGAGGTCCTTGTCTGCTCAGCTCTTCTGTGAAATTTACTTTCTAAAAGTTAATTTAAAAAACCAATAAAATCAATCAACTATCTCTGGAGAAATAAAATGTAATTAACTGCTCATTTTTTTCAACAAAATTGAGTTTTTTATATTTCTGGCTGATATATTTTTGGTTTTCATTTTCTCTTTTACTTCCTTTATACCACAATGAAAATGTTACCATTTTGATACCAAAACCAAAGAAAACATTTTTGATCAGGAAATTAGAAATGACAACACTTCCACTTACTGTTTTACATAGGAAACACCTTTACTATTTTATTTCTACTTAAAATACACTCAATCATAGGATAATTCCAGCTGGAAGGGACCTCAGGAGGTCTCTAGTCAAACCTCTCCCGCTCAGAGCAGAATCAGCAAGGAGGTCAGGCCAGGTTGCTCAGAACTTTACCAGTTCAGTCTTGGAAACCTCCAAGGACAGAGACTGCACCATCTCTCTGGGAAATCAGTCTCAGTGCCTGGCTGTGCTCACGAGAAAAAAAGATTTCTCATATACCCAGTATAAACATCTCATTTCAGGCTTATGCTCTTTGTTTCTCACCATCTACCAGTGTATCACATAGTCCTTTGCATGTACAGGCCAGACTGTTTTAGACCTCCCTTCTCCAGTTTGAACAACTGTAGTTCCCTCAGCCTCTCCTTGCAGGGCAAGTGCTCCAGCCCCTGACTGTTTTGATGTCTCTGATGAACTTGCTCTGGTTTAATTGATGTGTGTCCTGTACTGGAGGGGGGCAAAAATGGACAGAGTTCTCAAGAAGCAGCCCAAAGAGCGCTAAGTGTGAGGATCCTTTTGTTTCCTTTTAAGTTTGTATTTCATTTTCTCTACTTCGACATCCAGTTTTCTTATTTGTAGATTACACTGATTTATTCTTACTAGCAGAGCAGTCAAGACTAAAGAGGAATTTAAAAAGAAAGTTTGCTTCAAAATGCTTCTGGGAAAGGACATCTCTACATACCAGCAGCACCTCTGTGGCATTAGTCATCAGCAACACACAACCACTCATTCCTTCAGCAAAACAAAAAGGTATTTCCAATACATGATTTAGCTTTTCAAAGCCAGGAGGTGTCCCCAAAGCTACCTCTTGGCTAACAAAGAAAGCAGCGTAAAAAGTATTTGGAACATTAAGTCAAAACTTCAGCACAGCACCCTCAGTCAGAATGCAGGTATTGTATAACTTATGAACTTATAACTTGTATACAATACTCTGCCATTCTGCTTCTAAACATGCCTGTTCTGTGAAGCATGTTCTTTATTATCAACAGAAAAAGTCAACAAACAGACAGCAATTAAAATGTGTACCCTCCAAGTAGCTAGCGAGCACAATTAGCATGTTGTAGTCTCTGAAGTTGTGTTCAGTATACAGTTACTATGCAAGTTTCTTGTTCTTAATATTACCAGCTCTCTGCTTAGACAGAATACTGTTCTGAATTTAGAAATTATTTGAGAGAAATGCTTTCTTCTGGAAAAGCCAAAAGATTTAATTCTACGAGTGTAACTTCGAGAAGCAGCATTTCATTTTTATTTCTTCAGTAGAAATAAATTCCCGGAAGAAGAGGAATGGTTTAGAAATTCCTCCAAACAGAACATAGTAAAGAACAAGATTTGTAAAAATCTTCTGCAAGGAGCTAAGGCAAAACAATACACAGGATAGTGTTTACAAAATCCAAGGGACCTCTCACCTGCCTTCAAAACATGGAAACCTTCTACCTTCAGAAAAACTCTTAAGTTTTATACCTATCAAATTAACTCTGTGTGTTCTCTATCTTGTTTCCACCTTTGGCAATACTCTCATCTAATAGTTCAAAAAGATTTTCCCCAGCTGACCCTACCCATGCTCATGCTTTTCATCTACATTCTCAGAGTTCCAGGCTCCCACTGTTTAGCTGGCCCAAGTCTTTCACCATCCCACACCTGCAAGCCAAGTATTCATATTCCAAAATTTCATGAACAATAGTGTGAAAATGAAGTGTTCTTTAAAGAGAGTAAAACCTTTATGTAAACTAAATTACTTGCACAAAAGGGAGAAAGTTCTTAGTCTTAGTTGGCTGAAGTTTCATTTTTTTTTTAGCATATACTTATAGACAGAACTATACTTCTCACTTTTTTTAGCAAAAAGCATTTCTGAACTTGCCTGGTTGCTATACAAACGAAGCATCTTCAGTTGTAAACTAGAAATTCTGATATAAAACAAATCCTAGAGTGAAGCCGAAACAGATCCACTAGACCAACCCTTTTCCAATAAAAAAAAAGAGACACTAACACATCTGGTCTTCCAAAAGACTGACGTGTGAAAAAGCATACTCCTCCAAAAGCAGTTTCAGCAGGAAAATAACTCACTTGTCACTAAACTAGAAAAACAGTGTTCCAGGGCAACCACGCAAAGAAACCCAACAAATTCTCCTGTTATCAGCAACAAGGCAATTAATAGAACGATAAAGTAAATTTTTCCCCTCGTTCACAAGATTTATTTTTTCTAAAAAAACCCCATGGCCTCTGACTGAACACTGTTAAGAATCAAGGAACGGGATTTTTAGCCTGGCTGTACCTAAACTTTTAAGGAAGGATTTATTTCATCTAATGTTAGCTTCCTGCCAAGGAGGTATGTACAGCCAAACTAGTTTCCTAAGTTCCCATTATAGTCAGTAGAAATCTAATCAATACAGTTTATGGTGCAATTCATCCAACTGAACGTAGAACCTACTTTAGTATGAGACGAATCACAGCCCACACTTCAATGACTGCATCAGCAAGCTCTGCACTCTCTATAAAAAGACACTACCAGGCACCCACTTGGAATTAAGTGAATGTGATCTGTAAATCAGTCATTAGACAAGCTCCTCCAACTGAAGGTATACTGATAGAAGCCATCACACCAACTGAAGCAGATGAGCCTTTACTTATAACACTATATATGTAATCCTTTATCACTATATTTCAGCATCCCTCACTACAAAATCATAGTACCAAAATATGCAAGTTTACATCTGGGTGACTGTATCTCTGTGTAAATATTTATAAAGGTCAGAGTATACCAAAAGTAACACAGGTCTGGAAGATCCCCTTTGGACCTGCAGTCCTATTCCCCACTCTCAGAGCTACCATGCCTCAAAAACTTTCAAAACCAGACTGTGCTCCACAAGCAGTTACAGTTTCTGGCACCAATACTTTGAGCAAAAGGGTTCTTACCTGTAAACTATAAAGCAACACATAAGCAGAGAACCAGGGCTCTGTAACTAGAAGTGAAAGGTAGTATTGAAATGCCACAAAGTTCCCGTTCTATTTGTTAATCCCCAAGACACACTCCTGTTTCTTGCACGCAATCAGAGTTTAGTGTAACACAGGTAACTCAAGAGAGATTTTCTGTTAACCATACTTGGTTTACTGGGATTACGAAGTTCTAAACCTCTTCAAAGTGACACTAATTTTTAATACAACAAAGAGGTGCAAGAATTACATCATTTGCAGTCTTAGAAGTCTTTCCCCATTATGCAAGTTCCTTGTTACAGCTGGACAATAAACCAAGCTTCTTCAACTGCACACACGTCTAACCATGCATTCAGAATATCAGTTCAATGCTTAGGTTGTAGGGTAAATGTAAAGTCTACAAAATCAGAATTAATCTAATGAAATTTAAAAAAGTAACTGAACTTCTACTCATCTTTCTGACTATTAATTTTTTTAATTAATTGTTTACACTACATTTGTTTGCATTTGAGTTACTGTCATATACACTTCTTTCATTAGTACCTCTTTCTGTTGTTTTTGTACCTAGTCAATAGCATTCAGTTTGCTGCAGAAAGAGTTACAAAATGAAAAACAATTTATCATTATGCGGGCTCTTCTGAAACTCTAGTGAACTCAGATACAAGTGCATTTAACAAACAATGACACAAGAAAACCAACTCTATGGTACATTTAAGGTGATCATGAGCTGGGTATTTCTGACTCAACTAGTTTCCCATTTCTTTTACGTTTCTAGCTTTACCATCTCATCAAGTTGGAAATCTATTGCCAAGAAAGAATCCTGCCAAGGATGCAAGGAAAGAAGCACATTTTGGTCTAAGACACAATAATTATTCCTTCTCCTGAAAATTATTTATCAACTAATTAAGACATGGAAGTATTTCAAGAATATAGCAGTCCTGAAAATAATTAAATGGTCTGGAAATTCTCAGGAGTTCAGGTGCCAGGGACAAAACACACAAGGGGTTTACATGTACATGACACATGCATTCAGAGATTTCAGAATTGTTATAAGTGAATAAATAGCGACCTAGTGGTACAACACATTGCAATGTTGAAGCTCACTTCTCACAACTCACAACTATGCTCACTTACACTTTCACATACAAAAATCGTGCCCCTACAGAAATAAGACAACTTGGAAAAAGACTTTGCATAGTCAATGACTCTGTCCTCCTGGGGAGGGCAGGGGAAAAATTAGAGAAAAAGCTATAGGCAGGTTAGGCTAAGTACCATATTCAATTTTTTTCTCATATTATTTACACTACCTTTAGCAAAGAGAAGAAAAGCATATAATGATTGTTTCAACAGGGATTTAGTGCTGTCTGCACTGCTCTTCACTTACAGATTTGTTTAAAAATAAGTCACAAGTTACAAATGTTAGAATTTGAATTATCTTTTTACATTACAGTTATAAATACACAGCAAATACAGGTATTTGCTTTTCTTAACACACCATGCCTCTGTCAGTAAAAACTGGTACACCTCCACCGAAATAAATTATATTTAGCTATTTATAACCACGGAAAGGTTAGTTAATAGTCTGATGGAATCCTAAACGATAGACAGGGGTGCAAATTTCCCAAGCTTCAACACAAAAACTTGAGCTCTTATACCTCACTGCATCACTGGGAATTAAAGTGACTTGACTTTCAAGACTACTAAGCACCTACTATTCTACCATCTTTTAAAGAAATTCTGCTATCTGGCTCTTCCATGTATGATGTCCTTTAACTAGCTTTATTATGCACATTTTGTTTTACACAAAAATATGGCTTTAAGAGACAAATTTATGCTACAGTTAAATTTCAATGAAATAAAAATGTGTGTATCATACAAAAATTTCTACCATATGAAATAAATGTAATAATTGTAATTTATGCAATTCTGTTGTTTCTACAGTAAACAATGAGGCAAAACCAGCAGTACAGTAGAAAGAAAATATCTGTTGCCAAGCTCAGCTTTGAAGGATAAAATACATACCTTTTCATGTTTCTTCTTAAAGTTGGTCTTTCTAATTTTCCCATGATGCTGTAAGCAACAGATAAGAGCAAATATTTAAATTATTTTATGCTCCTCCTATAGCGAAGACAGAATCAAAACAGTCAACAGAGAATCATACACTACATCTGGTAGTACGCTAGTCTCGGTCTGCTTCTTTACTACACCTCCAGTATTTGCTTCTGGTGTTACAAGCAATCCTTCTTACTAGAATCCCTAAAATTACATTTGCTTACTTCTTCCTTCATTATGTCCCAAGTGCTGCAATCACAAAATATCCCACCCTAATATTTTTTGGTGATGTGCCTAATTATTTTTTCTGATCTAATTAGGCACTGATGAGAACAGGCAGTAAAAATGTGGTTTTGATGTGACTTCATGCCACCGTCCTCCTTCTACCCTCATCATCTAATGAAAAAAGACAGATGCTTAATTTCTTTCTCTTTCCAGAGAAGTTTAAATGATGGCCACGTCATTTTAAAAATGTATCCATGCATAAAATCCATCTGAATTTTCATCATTTGTCTACTCCATTTTAGAATTCTGATGGCATGCAAGTTGGCAGAATGACAACCACGAAGTAAATCAATACAATACAAAGACAGCTCAAGGTGCAGGAGCTACAGGACAAAGAGAAAAGGAGGAAAGAAAAAGAATAGTAATAAAAAAAAAAAAAGAACATAATTTCAAAGTTTTAAAGCAGCCTTAAGAAAGGAAGGGCTCTCCAAAGAAAATATCAAGTGTTCTTGGATCTCAACTGAATATGTGAGGGCAAGACAAGGACACAAATATAGTAAACAAGAATGAATGAGTAGAAAAAGCTAAAAACAAACCAACAAAGCGAGACATGAAGGATGACACGCATAAGTGATGTAACATTTGTGGAGATGTGGATAGTTAACATAGTTAAGTGCTTTAAATATAGTTAAGTGCTATTTCTCAAAATATCACCTGATCAGTTTTTCCACAGCCTTGAGAGGTATACTTTATTAATAAGTATACCATATAAGCATGCTCAATCAATCAGTGAAAAAATATCTCTAGTGAAGGGATTCTTTTTTCTTCATTTTAATGTTTAAAGTCTTATTCTCAGTATTTGTGGACCTCAGTACTCAGCCACATCAAGACCTCAGTGTCAGTAACTGTGGCGTTTCCTGACTGACTTCTAAAGAGCTGTAAGTTTCCTTTAAATAATTTGCCAGAATAAAGTAAATTAGTTTGTTCAATTAACACGTATCACATACTTAAGAGACAGCAAAGTAATCTTTTTATCATGCCTCAAAGGGAGGACAGCTGTTGGAGGGGAAGGGGATCAAGCCTGAGGTTACATAGCATGCTAGTGATGGATGACAACCAACTGCACTCATGCATGTTAAAGGTTAAGCTGGGATCTCCATATGGTATATTTAAGTTATATCAAAAGTGTTTCAAAGCAAGCGAGCAGGTGCTCTATTTCTGTGCAAGCACAAAAAAACAAATGAAATTCAGAGCTGGTTTTCAATTATTTTTTATTCCTGTTTTCTATTAAAGTGATAAATTGAACACTTCATATAGATTGCTATTCTTTTTTTTGTTTTAAAGACTACCTTTCAAAAACAACATCTATTTTTCACTTAATCATAGAATCATAGAATGGTCCAGGCCGGAAGGGACCTCCAAAGGTCATCCAGTCCCACCTCCCCGCAGTCAGCAGGGACACCCCCAACTAGACCAGGCTGCCCAGGGCCTTGTCAAGCCTCACCTTGAATATTTCCAGGGAAGGGGCCTCAACCACCTCCCTGGGCAACCTGTTCCAGTGCTTCACCACCCTCATAGTAAAGAGCTTTTTCCCAATATCCAATCTAAATCTGCCCTTTCCCAACTTAAAGCCATTGCCCCTCATCCTGTCACTGCAGGCCTTTGTAAACAGGCTCTCCCCAGCCTTCCTGTAGGCCCCCCTCAGGTACTGGAAGGTCACTATTAGGTCTCCCCGGAGCCTCCTCTTCTTCAGGCTGAACAACCCCAGCTCCCTCAGCGTGTCCTCGTAGCAGAGGTGCTCCAATCCCCTGATCATCCTCGTGACCCTCCTCTAGACCCGCTCCATCAGGTCCATGTCCTTCAGCTCTTGACATTTCACATAACTAAAAGCAGCACAGCCAATTATTAATTCCCTGCTTTATCAGGCTGTTAGCATTCTAGGTCCCCACAAACTGTGACTTTATCTTTAGCTGCAGTATAGCCCTCAGATTAGCGGCTCAACGACCACCTCTTTGTTTGCATCCCTTTTGCTTTCTAGCAGCCCTTAGTTAAATCACTCCAGAAGATATTTCTCAGTAATCTACTCTGAATCTGACTACAAACCCACCAAAACCATATTCTATTTTCACAGTCCACATGACTCATAAAAACTTTCAACTTGAGCACTCTCCCAGAAGTGTTGGTTTTGTTGGGCTTTGACATGCAGCTATTTCTGCAATTCACCTTAGCAATTATCCCTGCATCAGGTGCTATCAGATGATATGCACAGCAAGAATGGTAACTTCTCCTGCTTCACCAATTCTTGGAAAAAATCCTAAATATCACTGATTGAAATACCTTCACCGTCCTTGCTTCAAAAACCTTAGAAGCTCACGTTTATTGTAAAAAAGTTCAGTAGGGTTCATGTGCAAGAGACGAAAATAACATCAGAGATACCAAAAAAGGAGAAAGGAAAAAAAGTTCAGTCAACGCAAACAAGAATGATGTGGCACTTTTTGGTAACACGCTTTACTGAATTGACTCTTGTAAGCTTTCCTGGTTCTTTGAGTTCCAAGACTGATAGGAAAAAACCTGGGAAAAAACACTGCTTCAGCAAATAAATCTCTTGCAAAGATATTGTTTTGGCCAAGCGAAAAAGAACAAAGGTTGTCCATAAACAAAACTTGTCAATTTGCACTTACTACAAGTAATCCTCCACACTTCTCAAGAAAGCACAAGTCAGAAGGGTAAAATACCTACAGCTTTCAATGTAAGATCATACCAGAAACATGAAACCCATATTTAAGCTAATAATGTACTAGTAAATCATCACTAGGAACTGCAGTAACTTCTCAAAACAAGAGGAAAGAAGAAAACAAGCATATTTTTACAAATTTGTCTTGCTTTCATTTTTTTTTAGTTGTTCACACCTGTCTACCATGAATACCATAAATTTATACACACATGCATATATTATTACACACACATTAATGTAGAAAACTCTGAAGTCAGTAAAATCCCTAGAAAGCACAATTGCCCAATCATTTTTCTGATATCTGTCTTCCTCCCTACATTTTGTCAAATTAAGGCCTCAAAAGCAATGCAATTAGGTAGGCTGGAGGAGCATGAATATCCTGGGTAAGAAAGAGACAGACTAAAAACTACAGTACTGCAGCATTTGCAGCACAATCATAACATAGCCCAAAGGAAAAAAAAAAAAAAAAAAAGAAAAAGAAAACCAAAATTCAATGTGTCCAATGTCCACAGCAAGAACTAAAAGAAAATTATGTTTGGCCCATTCATCCTAAAACATGCATTGCCATCTCCTCAACGCAACAGGTGCCAGGTAATGGAACCACATCTTCTGCAAAAGCAACTGTTTGTAGATTTCTGTTTCAGAAGCTTGAAATTGTACAAATAAGTTAAAAGTGCACTATGTCATTTTCCCTCACTAAGGGACAACTTAGCCAAATATACTGTTGTGGTAAATCTTACTCTGGAAATTTAAGTCTGGCTTCTACCTTTAGACACTGCAGAAATTCCACTAAAATCTTTACAAAACGGAGCTGTAACACCTAATAAAAACATAGCACAATCCTGGTGCTCTAACAGTGTTATGCATGTTTTGACATGAAGTTGGGTTTATTAGACACTAATAATAACTAGGTGATCATTACCAACCACAATATGTGATACACAGAAAAACTTCTAATCAAATCAAATGAACCACAAGCAGAAACAGAACTCCAATAGTTGAAGAGTTTTAAACTAGGAAATTCAATGTGCAGGAATCCAGTAAGCAGCACCAAGAGAAAAAAATTTCATTACCTTAAGAAAGAACCTCTTATCTGTCCTCACAGGATTGTAGGAGGCAAGGTAAGCAGCTATTAGGAGAAATTTGGAGTAATAAGGGAGTTCCACATGTGTATGTGCAGAAAGTCCTACAAAGTAAACAAAGACTTTATGAGTCACCAGAAACCACTCTGAACATCCACAGACTTCAAAGTACTTGTTCACATTCTTCTTTTTCTTTTCTCCTGTTCCACTCCATAACTAAATGAGTGCAGCTCCTTTCAATACCACTATCACAGATACAAAATCTGAAAGGCTAAGGAACGGCACAAAGCTAAACAAAACTAGCATTCTGAACTCTTTAAGGACTCATCTCAGAAATTGTATCTGAAGCATCAGAAATTCATAAATCACTGAGAAGTGATCTCCTTCAAAAAAATAAAATTTCAGGCTAATTTCACTGACAGTAGTTTTTCCAGCAAACAGGGCAGATGAAGAGATTTAGTTAAAAACCATTACAAAGCGTTTCTCCCAGACCCAACCAAACAGCTCAGCCAGGAACAGGGCTGGCATAGTGCAGAAAGCAGCAGTGCTGCACTTCTGAGAAACAGTTCAGCATCTCACAATTTTCAGTCACGCTTTTATTCCTAGAGAAAATGTTTTCAAAATTTTAAACTCGATCCAGTTGACCTAGCCTGCTACATGTATACATCATTAAGATTAAAGTCTCACACATTAAAACGCTCAAGAATTACAGTCTACTGAGTATTTTCCTTCCCACGTTTTAATTTTGCTTTGTATTTTTCCCCTTTACATTCTCCTGCTCTTGTCACCATAGCTGCTTCTTTTGGACAGCTTATGCATATGAATAGGATGATTAAACCCCCTGACTCCATTAGTTGTCTAACTATGGAGACCACTAAAGGGTCACCTCTTGTGCCTTCTTTGCTTACAGGTTTTCACTTTAACCGTTTCTTGTTCTGTGAAATATCTGTACCCTTATGCTGTCATCCACAAGTATCAGCAAATAAAGATCAAGGAATTAAACATGCTTAAAAGTTAAGATTCAGAGCTCCCAGTGTGATGAGAAACATCCCAGCTGATAGTTAGTAATAATTTCCTCTCGCCTAGGCACAAAAGGACAGCAGTTTTAGCTTTCAGTGACAATCAAGAAACTCTTTCATAATGCATGTTCATTACAAAATGCCACCAAGCAAACTCTTACGTATACACAATTTAGTTTAAAACAGAAATATCTGTTCCTATCCCATTCTTCTGGTCTGCCAATATTGCATCATGCAATTGCTTAATCATAATCAATGCATTTGCTTAATTGCATCCACAGTATAAAAATTTATAATTGCTTTTTAGGCATGTTATTATCAAATGCTGTTTACCAACAAGACAATTTTTCCTACCACAGACTCCTGAAAATTCTAGAAAATGTGTTTTTAAATAAAGTTCCCCTTTTTGGGGTTGTCAGGTACAAAAGTATTTCATAGTCCTCTGGGCACAGAAGGAGGGAGCTCAATAAGAACACATTGAATCAAACTCCTTTGGTCAACAATGTTTTAAAAAATTACTGATAATACAGCAAATATAGGAAACCATATGATGAGTCGGGTTACTTTAAGACCGCTCTAAAACGTGGCTATTTTACCTACTACCTAAAGAAGAAAATATTTTTCATGATGGATAATACGGAAAAAGTGTCCCCAAACTAAAAACTGGTCAAAAGACCATGACCGACTGACAGCACCAGGAAAATGTTTTTGTAATCCTTCCTAAATTGCAAAAGAATGCTGACTAGTAATACTGAGATTATACTTTAGATGAGACTGAAAGTCAAAAAAAAAAAAAAAAAGACAAAGCTGTAGTCCTCCAATGTAAGAACAGAAAGAATTCTTGCCATTCTGACATTGGTCTTCACCAAGAAATAAGGACATAGGACACCTGTTTTGTGTAGGAATGTGCTAATACAGTGCGACAGGTATAACACTCCCTTCTCCCCTCTCAGACAATTCTACCAGTTGGCACATAGAGGTTTGACCATCAGGGCTCAGCCTGTTCCTCCTCCACTCTTACGTAAGAAATACTGATTTAAAGAAACCTGCTTTTACCCACAAGGGATCTTTGGAAAGATTACTCCTAGGATATGTGCTAGGGAAAAAAATAGCTAAAGTCCTTCGTAGAATACCTCAAAAAACATGATTAGCCTGAACTGTACCTGAATGCTAATAGGTAGCCTCATCTACGTTAATTTCATTCACACATTATCAGATAACAGCGACCAAGCCAATCTGGAAAGTACACATTTCACATCACAAGCCTCTACAGAGTTACTGTATCCAATACCTTTCAGCTGCCCAGGTTCTCCATCCTCACGCTGTAACCGCTCCCACTGTGAGCTAAAAGACAGATAATGCAACTATATAAAGATGAAGTATTGGTTAGCTTTTTAGAGAAAACTACCTGTTTGGTATATATACAAATTTCATGACACTGACTAGGATACAGTAAGAGAGTAATCAAAAGTACCAAGTCTTACTACTTTGCACACAAGTTTCAGTCATGTGCAGACTATGCATACTTGAAAAAACTGTAGGAAGTAGTCATAGTAAGGTATAAAAGTGAGCATAAGCTAATTGTAAAATACCAATTTCTTACCATCCAACTACCACCAGTAAAGCAAATATCAATAGTGTTCTAAGTTTCAAGAACAATGCGGAATTGGATAAAAAGTAAAAACACCGATAGTTTTGATTATTTTTTTTATCTGCTTAATAACTGTTTATGCTAGTGAGCACAATCCTATAATTACTTCATAATGTAATTGTGAAGTCTACATAAAAAACAAAGCAATATTCACTCAAATGAAAACCTTTGAAGACATAAACATGGAACATTTTGTCAGTGAAAAATGTCTGCAAGTAATCTGGTGTTTTCCTAAACAATAGCAAAAAATCTGACTTCAAAACTTCCCTTACGGAATGACATTGTTAGAGATGTCATGATTTTAGATTATCATTTTATATACCATAAGGGGATAAAAACACAGCTTTGTTAAAGCACCAGTGATTTTATCTTTTGTTAAAGTTCTCTATGAACAGTCCCTCAACTAAAATACAGAGATTTACTTATCATGGATTAGGGTTTATCAGCCATAAGCCATAAAACTTATGAAAACAATTCAATGAGAACTGATAAAATACTCAAATTTTAATGAATGATTAATCAAATTATGAATCAGCAAATTTTTTATCCAATGTCTATTTTACAAGTAGAAAAAAGTTTCATTTTCATCTCAGTTCAGGCAGTGTAACAGCCAATACCGAAGTTCTACTGCTTTAACTTACAACTTGAAGAAAACCCCAGAGTAATTACAGTCCTGTGGCCAGAAAAAATGATATAGTCATTTTAATTCCTCAAGCATTTACTGGTATACAGAGGGAAATCCTGGAGCTATTATGCAGAAAGCTGAAATTTATTACAAAAAAACCCAGTAAAGCTCAAATTTATAATCAAAGAAAACCGTAAAGAGGGAAAACTAGTTATTTGTAAACAATCCATAAGCCATTTTATATCATAATTTTATATTACACCCTAATTATAATAGGCAATTACACAATATGTAGACTGCGTAATGAAGATCAATATTGAATATAAATACATATTTGAGGCAAACAGAATAATATCTCATTGTATAGTGAAGTCTAGTTTATATAGAACAAAATCAATTCCCTTTTTGAAGGAACAATCATTTCTCCAAAAGATTTAAAGATTTCTGCTATACACCCAGGTTCAGTTACCGGAATACCCTATAGCATCAATGACATTCAAAGGAAAGAAATCATTATGCTTTTATCAAGATAAAGAAATCAAACACTACTGAGTTATCTCTCTTCACATCATGTAACATCAGAATCACTCATCTTAAAGACAGAGAAGACATTAATCTGAGCAGATTACTACCACTAAAAATGAACACCACCATCATCTTTTTTCTAGCAGTCTGGCAGCTTAAGAAAGAAACAAGGAATCTAAAACCATAGCAAGAAAAACTCAACCCATTAGCAAGACACCAGCTTCTAACGCTGTCCAAAATGGTAATTCCATATAAGGAAAACCTTGCCATTGGACAAGAAAACAAGGGGTCAGAAAGCACAGCAAACGTGCAAACCTAGACCTACTAAACAAAGCTAAGGAACACAGAGGTTCAAAATCTGTCACGTCACATCAGAATCTTGAGGCTTGCATGCATCCTTAGTACAGTGAAGATCTGACAAGTCAACTTTACAGTTTAATGCACACTTGTACCTGTATATTCTGGTGATGGATTCCAATGCTTAGCCATTACATACATGACAGAAAATTGATCTATCTGCATGACCACCAGCGAGAAAGAGGACACAACCTGCTGCCAGTGCTTTACTTATTAAACATTTTATATACTACAAATACAATTTTATTTAAAAATTCCATCCTGAGATACTCTATTTCTAAACTTATACGGCAAGAAAGAAATGCACATTAAAGAAAAAAGATTCTAGCTAGCAAAACAGAAACACTAGCCATGAATCATAATTGGAAGAGTAAATATTTCAAAAGCAAGCTTGTTAAAAACAGCAGCATCGACAAAACAAACAGGTCCTCGCCCCTCAAATTACCTGGATATCTCCCGGAGATAAACAGTCTGCATTGCCTTCTTCAAATGAGGTTCAATATTTTTCCAGAGCTTGCGGGTGTCACGTTCATTTGCTGCACCAAGACAAAAATCATCTTTGTTAAACATTTAACTCTCACAACACTAAAACTCTTATCTCGGACAGCCACAGCCATGACACAGTAAGTCTAACACCCTGACTCTGAAATGCAGTATTAGAATGATGCACCATCTACAATTTGCAAGCACGTGGTACCACACAAGGCTGTTTCTCTGTAGTTATTCTGAGATACTCTGGGTCAGTTTGGCAGAACCTCTGCTCTCATTTTCTCTTCCTAGCCTTGACAGAGAAACGACTTATCCCATTACTTAGTACTGGTGGTTGTGTGAGGAGAAATGTTTATAGGAAGGAAGTAAGTCTTCATGGTATTTCCATCTCATTCCCATAAAAAACCATCACCAAGTGTCAGCTACTGCTGCTGCAGGAAATGCTACCTACTGGGTGCAACTGGAATAAGCAATGCTGTTGTGACCACAGAAATGGTCACAACACAATGAGGATCAAAGCAAAGTCCTCCACAAAACCTACAGGAGGGCACCTGCACTCTCATACACCTGCTCAAATGAAAGGCAGAAGCCTACCTTCTCCGTTGACCACGGGTTCACAGTATTTAGAAAAATTGAGCGCTGCCTACAGAAAATAAAAAGTACAACATATTAGAAAGGTACCATATATTTGATCTAGCTACAGCATGTAACATGCAGCGTAATTCATTACTTTGAAAAACCACTGAATTATTTTTCAGTCAATAATTACATCGCTTGCTTCCAAACATTGTACTGTAAAATGTCACAACATTTCTGTAGATTAAAATACAAACAGAAGTAATCTATCACAGTTACTGTTTTGATCTCAGCAAAATCTGTTTACTATACCCAGGGGTTTAATTATTTTTTTTTAAGCAACATAGTAATTAAACATTATAAATGCAATAAAAAATGTATTCATCAACTTTTTTTACAGATAAAACTTTCCATTTCAGGAGCAGTCCAGCATGTTTACAAGTAGGCCACATGTACTTACACAAGCAGAAAATATTTAAAACAAACAAACAAAAAATAACCACCAAACCCTGCTAACACATTCCATATTCAAACTCCTTTTGCCTAAGGTAAGATTGTGAGATTTTTGACAAGGTTGTAATCTAGATTTTTTTCTAAAATTGTTAAATCAATATCTCACAGAATTTTGTAAAATAACACATTTCATTCTCCTTTTGTCCTACTGCACCTTATTAAATCTCTATGCTACTATACAGAACTCAATGCAGTAACTTCCACATATAAAACTAATATAATTCCAGAATGTCTTATTAGTGATCATGCATAATAACATACACATTAAAAGTCTATATTAGACACTGTGGAGCTGTTCAGAAGCCTACAGGCATTTTTATGTGTCTGTCATTACCTTCTACAGAAGAGACTTGTCAAACACAAAAAGAATTTAGGGTCCAGTTATGCAAATATTTCCACAATGTTGGTAATTCACACACACAAACAGTGCATCTAAAGCTGATGAAATTATTCTGATAAGCAGAACATCTCAAGCTTGTGTCTAGAAGAACAAGTGACCCCAGTTCCTATTTGTGTCTTCACCAGATTTCAGCAGTATCATTTAAATATAAGAACAGATCAGTTAAGCTGAAGTTTAGCGATGTTTTCCTGATGGATGTGCAGGCAGGACGTTCGGATCATCTCACCAACACCGATTTCTTCACTGACCATAACACTGATCACTTCAAACTTGTAAAATTTCCTTGTACACAGTACAGCTATTTAAATAATAATATGATGAGCAATAACGGTTACTGTTGTTCAGTTTTCTTATGCGAAGATCACAGTCAAGTAATTTTTATTTTTCTTCTGTTAGTTTGTTTGCTATCACATTCTTCAACTGATATATGGTTAAAACTCTTCTTTTTCAAGTATCTTTAATGCATTTTTGTTCCCTCAGGCATGACTACATTGCAGGAACTTTGACTTACATATTGTATTCTTAATTCCAAAAGAAATACAAAGAAAATATTTATGTCAACTCTTACTTCTCTAGGCCTTTGAGCCAAATTAATATGCTATGTTTCTGTAAAACTGTGCAATGGATCTGGCTTGTAGCTGCTTGATTACCTTAAAATCCTCTTTAGGAGGCAAATCAAGTGAAAATTTTACACTCAAATAATACAGGAAAATGTTTCAAATTTTAAGTGAAATTTCCCATGAAGTTGAAGTTTAAAGAATGTTGGGTGGCAAGTTACATTTAATAAATATAGGAAACAGCAGAACTCGAGGCTGGACATGCTGAGACCATGTAATTGAAGTTAATTCCTTCATATGTTGAAAGCAACTGTCTGGCACTCCACTGCACAGTCCAGGAAACAAACACAACAGAAGGCTATTTTTAGGGATTACAGAAATCCATGAGAGCAAGAAGGTAGCATTGAGAGCAAAGTCACATAACCACACAAAAAAAGAACCTGAAGAGAAAACAAGCACAGTGAGGCCTACCATTGCCTGGAAGAGTGAAATCATAACTATTACTTCCTCAGACTGAACTGCAAGCAACCAACAACAAAAAGATCATTAACCAAATCTGTAATGGAGTTGCCCCTCAAAAACTGCTGCGGGTGCAGCAATTGCTTCCACTATACTTATCAGTAGGCTTAAAAGGTTTCATCACACTTATCTCCTTATCCCAACAGGTGAAAATAGGCAGCCCAGTCTTCTCAGTCACACTCTGATATCTAGGAACAGCTTGAGCTCAAAAACCCCAACAGAAGGTCTAGGCTGGGTGAACCACACACGGACTGGCATCTCATTAGTGCAGCTTTTGTTGCCTTTGACCAGACAACTACATAGCAATGGAAAACTTTACAGCCACCAAAAGAATTGCAATCTTTATTATGGATTTTTATGGAAATTGTATTTTCAGCTAACACATTCTTAAGATGGCAGATTTACACTACATATAAGGAAGAAAATGTTTATGCTAACAATGGTGACACACTGGAACAGTGTTTTCCTATCCCTAGAAACATTCGAGGTCAGTTGGACAGGGCTCTGAGCAACCTGTCTCTGCCCATTACAGGAGGGGCTGGACTAAATGACCTTTAAAAGTCCCTTCCAACTCAAACTTTTCTATGATTTTCTCTTTGTCCATATGTTGTGGTTTAACACCATCTTCAACAATATATCTAGACTTTCAGAGCTTATTTGGCAAAAAACCACCACAAAACAAAACAACTCTAAAGGAGCCCATCTCACCAGATGCTGAAGTTCTTTCAAGTCCCTACAGACCATGTAGAAGACACCAAGTAGAATATTGATATATGCAGCATAGAAATCCGCAGAATATTCTGGGGGATGATTCTGAGACAAGATCTTCTGCAGGTGTCCTGTTTAAACAAAAATAAGTTTTGCTTATCTAAAGGTAACTTAATAAACTGACCACATTTTACAAGTCAAATGGAAAAACAAACTATAATCTTCACTAAATAACCAAAATCCACTGAAACCTACACTGATTAAAAGAACCAGCAAACAGAATGGAACCAAAATGTTGCTTTGAGACATTTTGGCAAGTGGAAAAAGGCAAGTCTTTTAGAGGTCGTGTGAATATAGAGTTTTTACATTCCAGTAGCTATTACATATTATGTGTTCTGTAAAAGCGTACAGACAAACATGGAAAAAACTTCTGGATGTTGTTTGACAAAGTACTACTCAACCCCCGAAATGCAGATTAAAGAATTAGTTTACCTATGCTGTAATCAGGAAAATACAAAGTGCATGGTTCAAAGCATCCAGTACTTGGGCGGAACAGTTCCCATACTATTTCACTGAGCAGGACAACTGTCACATTTCTGTCAGTCTACACAGGGAAGGAAAAGAAAAAAAAAAGAAAAAAAACAGAGTGACAGAGAAAAAAATTAACACTGCATGTTACAATATCAATGAGAAAAATTATTATTGTTCCATAAAATCATCAAAGTTTAACACAAATTACAAGCTTAATAAAGCTTCAGCTGGCCTAATCAAGAAGCTCATCAATTGCAGATTTCCATAACTACATGAGATTTCTCTGCACCCCTTGCCATTTCACTGATGTGCTTTGTGGTGTGATAGAGCTCTGGTACTACACATTATCAAGTAGATTCCATCCTTTACTGCAAAAATTAAGACAGCATTTTACTTTGGTAATTAAACCAAATTACTCAACATGAGCCGGCAATGTGCACTAGCAAGCCAGAAAGCCAACTACATCCTGGGCTGCAGTGTGCAGTGTGGCCAGCAGGTCATGGGAGGTGATTCTGCCCCTCTACTCTACGCTCTTGAGACCCCACCTGGAGTACTGTGTCCAGCTTTGGAGTCCTCAACACAGGAAGGACATGGATCTGCTGGAACTGGTCCAGCAGAGGGCCACAAAGATGGTCAGAGGGATGGAGCACCTCCCCTATGAGGACAGGCTGAGAGAGCTGGGGTTGTTCAGCCTGGAGAAGAGAAGGCTCCGGGGAGACCTTATAGCGGCCCTTCAATACCTGAAGGGAGCCTACAGGAGAGCTGGAGAGGGACTCTTTGTCAGGAAGTGCAGTGACAGGACAAGGAGTAACGGTTTTAAATTGGAAGAGTGGAGATTTAGATTAGATACCAGAAAGAAATTCTTTACAGTGAGGGTGGTGAGACACTGGAACAGGTTGCCCAGGGAAGTTGTGGATGCCCCATCCCTGGAAGTGTTCAAGGCCTGGCTGGATGGGGCTTTGAGTAACTGCTCTAGTGGGAGGTGTCCCTGCTCATGGCATGGGGGTTGAAACTTGATGATCTTTAAGGTCCCTTCCAACTCTAACCATTCTGTGATTCTATGAAACCAAGAGTTTCAGAACAAACAGGAAGAGTTAAAAAGTAAAAGAAAGCTCAGTGCTTTCCAAAACCAAGCTATATAGTACTTTATTTTTGAAGGTAAGCTGGTCTTTAAAAAAACCAAAAAGCATTTCAAAACAAAAACAGTGTTAACTGTGTACTCTACCGACTGTTTAACTAGTTACCAATAAAGGCTGTGCTTCAATATATCAGTTTTTTAATATGAAGCTATTTGTGAAAATATAATTCTTCCTTCTTGCAAGGCTTTTACAACCATACTAAAAATTCTACATAACCAAAGATGCTTTTAAATATGGCTCTTCAAGAAATACATTTCAAAACTATCAAGGCACCTCAAGAAAATAAAAGGAAGTAACCTGATTGAACTGTCAATGCTTAATATGAGTTGTGGATGACTTGAAAGAAAAGTTTAAATGCTATTCCCCTTCCCTGAAATTCAGGGAGAGTCTTCTTTTACTTACTCTTCCCACTTCTGACCAGTGGCACACACCTATATTCTTTCCTGTTTCTTCTTTCTCTATTTTTATGTAACTTTTTTTTTTCTTTTAACAAGAGAGAGCATTTTTCTATAGATTTCTTTCAATTGTGTTCCACTCCCAGATTTCCTAGTATTTCAGTTGAGAAAAGTACTAAGGTATTTCCAGTTCAGTTCCTGACAGACCTTCCAATATGCAAAACTTAAGTACTTCTCACCACAATCCTCACAGAAATCAAGCATCCCATAACCCATTTTCACCAACTATCTCCCAGTCCCATGATATCTTTCACCACTAATGAAGTTTCATGTCTCCTTTCACTCCAGCAAAGGAAGTGATGCAGTAGATTTGCTCCTATAACATTACTCTGAACATCAGCTGCACAACCGTTTTACAAAGCCTCAGTCCAGAATTTAAGCAACTCTCAGCTTTTAGGAAAACTGACAAACTTGTTTGGAGGTTACTTTGTAATTTGAGGGTGTTTCTTTAGCATATTTAAGTCTTAGCCTATGGTGTTTTGGTCCCTGAACAGCAATCACAGGATCAAGTTTTCTTCCTTTCTCTCTTCCCAGACAGGTCGTTTTTGCTTCAGGGGTAGCAAAATCCACAACATGGGCAAAACAGACATAAAGAGGCAGAAAATGCATCAGCTGCCAGGATTAAGAACACAGCTGTGAATCAGTCTTCATTCAGTAAATAGAGAAATCACTGTCACCGGAAGATTAAGAGCACCACACAAAAGTCCTGAGATAACAAGCGTAATTTAAGCTATTTAAATGTTCAGACATTTCAAAGTACCACCATCTTCTGGTTTTGTCTTCAGTTTCTTTTCAGAGAATGGACCATTTTTCCTTATTTGAAGGCATAAGCTTTGATACTTCAAGAAGTGGGAGAGGGAGGGATACAGTGGTTTACTCTGATCAGAAACATACTGTGGCACAATTCCGGCAGACGTGTAAAAAACTCCCTGCCATCACAAAGCACACTGGCAGCTGCTGAGCTGTGCAGCTCCAGCCACAAACAAATAGCTGGTGGTCTTCTGACCATCCTCAAGCCAGTCACCACCCAAGGTTGTAAAGCTCCACATGGGAGAAGCTTGAGGAAAAATAACAAATGTTTCCCCGAGTCACGAATTCATGCTTCCAATGCTGAATTCACTCAACATGGTCGAGCTCTCTGAATCAGCAGCAGACTCAGAAGCAAACTTTGGATTCCCACACAAACATCTGACAAACTCTAAAAGGGGTTTTATTTATTTATTTGTACCAAGCCAATAGGAGCTTTATTGAAGCTTCTCCATAGAGATTATAGTCTGACCAAAATTTTGTTTCCTGCAATTATTACAAAACTTTAAATGAAGAGTAGGAAAATTTCACATTCTTCTTAAAAACAAAAATACTCTAGAAAAGACAGCTGTGTATCTGACACAAGCCTCAAAATAATCTACAACAGATCAGATATCACAAAACAAGATACTATTAAACAGAATTTTTAAAAAATTAAGAGTGTAAGAAAAATGTTTACATTTTGGCAATGTTTAAATTCTGGTTTGGTTTCTAGTTTTGAACACTGTCAGTTAATTATTGGGGGGGAAGGGGAGGGGGAATTAATTGTGTAACTTTTCTCATCTCTTTAGATGATTCTTTAATCACTCATCTTGATCTGTGAGCTTAGATGGACAGACGCCATATGGGTTCAGTTACTTCCACTATGCAGGAAACATAAGGGTTTTTTTCCACTTACCAACTCTTGAAGTCTAAGAAAAGCTGGCAGGACATTTGCTTCCATTTCCCTCAGCTGCTCTGCTCTATCCAGTACCTTTTAAGAAAGCAATGATCTTATTATATAGACAATGTGACCTTCCATTCTCACATGGCCTTAAAATTAATTTTTAGCTGCTGGAAACTCATTTCACCAATGGCTCTTAGACGGCAGAAACCACTTAAGTATCAAGACCCCTTAAACAAACAAAATTAGAGAGATAATTGATTTACATGTGCTTACAGGAAGCCCAGAAAAATAGATACAATCCCCAGGCAAGCAACACCTCATGCCTTATGGCAGTAAGAATTAAAACATAAGTACACCAGGAAAGAATAGCACTGACAAAGCCATGATATCATTAACAACCACTGACAGTTAATTTTTGTCAAAAATTCTTCTTAGATTAAAAAATTATGTGTAGTACGACAGCACTATAGCAACATGCTTATTGCAGGAGAGCTATCTTTCCCACTATGAAATTATTTTTCAGACATAAGAGCTGGCATTTTCAAAGAGTTAGCTATTATCAAGAATTCACACAAGTGAATTTTTAGCAAAATAACAGCCATAGTTTGCAGCCTAGAAATTTACAGGGTTTAGTGTATTGTATGCAAACCTGGCACAGCACTAACAAATATGTAGCATAGGTATAGCTTAAACAGGAAATAACTAACATTTTGGAAGCTAGGGAAAAAAAATAGGAGCATGAAAACATGCACGGCTATCCTTTGGCCAAAAAAAAAAAAAAATCATACTCCCAGTACACTTAAAATCTTGACAGGAATGAAAAAAGAGAATAGAAACACATTTATTTTGTGTTTTATTTACTACTAGTAATATAAATCTAAATTCTGAATTTCATTACTTCTTTTGAATTACTGCTGTTGAAAGAGAAGCTATAGGTCCCTAGAAAATTGTGTTTTTTCTATCCTTTTACATTTCTTCCCCACACCAAGACATCAAGACATCTATCATTTCTGTTGCCCACAGTAAGAAAAAGAATTTTATGTGGACAAGCAATAAACATTTTATGAAAACCATATTTCAAAATCACACCATACAGGAAAAAAAAGCCTGAAAGAGCAACATCTCTGCAATAACAGCTCACCCTTCTTGGGAATTTATTTAAAACTACAAGAGGACATACGATTTTATATTGACATCTGCATTTGGTTTATATAATAAATGACTTCAGAGATGAAGGCTGCATTACATTACTGACCAAATAGAGGCTACATATTTTTACCAATAAAATACTGCTTATTAGACCCAGTGACATGCAGGCACCAAACACAAAGCTTCTAGGTCTTGACCTAAGTATATCTTACTTTTTAGTTAAATCAGAACAAACCAGAGTTTCTACTTACAGCAGAGAAAACATACTGTGCCCCTGGCTTGTGGAATATGTCAAGTCATTCACAGAAACAGCCTACCCACAGGCCTATAAATCCACGTTATTCTTTAGTTTTCATATGGATTCATCACCTTTCAGCTTTTTTTAAAAACTATACATTTTAGAACTGTCTGCTGACTTATATTAAAAACAGCATCTTGGTACTTCTGTAAAGTGGTAAATATTGTAAATGTATGAATGACCACAAGTTATATCAGTTCCAATTTTTCAGGTAATTAGAATGAATAAATTCATTTTTCACAAGTAATCACAAGCATTCAGCACCCGTGCTTGGGTTAAGAGAAATATTTAGAATCCTTTGCTTGAAAGTAAACATTTATCTTAATTTGCTGAGTTAATTGGGCTGAAATATTACATTATTTACTACCAAAATGAAGTAGAATAAATTAGCATTGACAATTTGTGTTACCAGCACGCTGGTCTTCCATCAGTCTCAATTTAAACCACTCTACAATAAATCCAGATGACGCAGGTTAATATACATGAATTGATTTCCCCCATTCCTGTCTGTTTCCATGCAGAACAGAACCAAAATACTAATTTAATACTTTAACACATGAAGCATTCTTTACTGATGTAGAACAGCTTTTTAATTCAAATATTAATCTGGAAGTAAAATTTTACTATATAAAGTATTTTGTAAAATTCGCTAAAGGTTATTTTAGTGCTAAATTTTGTACTTATGGAATTGTTGAAGGATGCCAATACCACTTTTGTGATAGTAAATTAAAACGAATTATCTAAGTATAACTTCTTATCTGTTTTAAGTACTGGTACATTTTTCTCTTCATTCAATTTTTAAGTGGTATGTCAAATTTATTAACCTTATGAGCTGTAGGTAATTGTGAGATAGTGCTGTTTCCACTAAACATAATATGAAGCTATTTAACTTAGTGATTCGGTATTTTTAAATGGAAATAAAACTTGACTATAACTTGTGAAACAGAATGAAGAATGTTCAGTGTAATTATGAACTTCTTGTTTGACTGCAGAAAAACAGAGCAGTCTACCCATTGACTGCTGTAAGAAACATGCAGAGTGATTACTCAGGGTCATTAAGCTTTCAACCTTGAACCACTTTCATGTATTTTAAATAATAAATTTGACCTAGTTTTAAAAAAAAAAAAACCACCTTAATTCCTACTGCTGGGCTGACATTTCAGTGTACATCTTTGGCAGATCCACAATGCGTATATACAGTAAAACATCACTAATACTACGGCATTCACTATTTTTAGGATAAGAGATTTCCTTCAGCCAAGTAAGAGCTAGAAAAAAAAAAAGTAGCTTTGAGAAGTCTATGCCCTTTCCTCAGACCTCTTGTATGCCTGAAATTTGTTTCTATCTTCATCTCTTGGCGTGGTAAGTGCTGTTACAGATGGCTGCAAATCTTGAGTCCTTTATGTAGTTAAGATTCTCACAGAAAAAAACCCCAAACAAATCAACAAAACCTAGTGTTCTAGTACTACCTTGATTCAATCTAAATTCTGTGATTTAAATTCTGATTATTTTTCCTGTGGTCTGCCTGTTTATCCCACTTGAGTACATAATCACGTTTTTCCTTGCAGTCTTTTTACCATCTTAATTTTAAAACTACATTTGTTGTCTCTGAGGGCTACAAGTATATTTGAAGATGTAAGATCTCAACAGCACTTTTACAGAGCAAATTATGCATTTTAGTTCCTTAATACAACTTCTAACTTGAACCTATTCTAGCCAACCAATTCTTGTCATTTGCATGCTCCATAATTCACTTCTACCCTCCTTCCTACCTTTGCTTTCTCATTTGTGAAGCTATCTTCACAAAGAAACAGATAAGCATGACTTACTAATTATAAAACAAATACAGGCTCTCTATATTCAGAGATTGTGTAATATTATTATATACCTAATTTAACTATGCAGTATAATCTATGTTCATTATTAGTTTTGCTATATAGTTTTTGTGTGTAAAAAGTTCTAAAATCAGGAATACAGGATGCCATCTAAAGCCAGTAAACCAATGGAGAAAATCTAACCAGTATCAACAGATTCTGAATCAGGTCCAGAGGGAAATTTTGTGAAAGCTGATCTATAATGCACACATTTCACATAAAAATTATTGATAATTATTCATACCTTCTTAACCAAAATGAAACTAGAACAATAAATTAAGTTACTTACTATATATAATGTTTGATCTTGAAGCTCTTGACTGGCAACAGCTTGTTTAAACAGACGTACAAAGTCATTGAAATTATCACAAGACACATGAGAAGTCTGTTTTGTCTCAGAAGTTGCATCTCTTTGCAACTGGATGAGAATTTCTTCTAAAAGAAGTCGTGAAGTAAAGTATTCCACACAGTTCACAAACACATGAGGAAGCTGAAGAGGACAAAAAAAAGATACATCTCTATTTGGCTTTTTCAGTGTAAATACTCCAAAATCAGTTTTCCCTTCCAGATAAGACAATGAAAGAAACCACACTCTGCCAACAGAATATAGAGCACAAATCAAAAAAAAAAAAAAAAAACCACTTGGCAAAAAAGATTGATTACTTATGTACCTAGTCAAAATATCATATACCACAAAGCGAGCAGAGATCTGATGAATTCTCATAGGAAACATACAGTGCATCTTCTAACTATGTTTAAAAATAGTGAACAATACACAAAAAGAAAACTAAATAGCATTTAGATCAAAGAAAAGCTAGACAATTCTAACACATTACAGAGTCATAAAATGGTCCATTTCAAATTACAGTGTCTGGATCACATGAACTTCTCAAAGAAATTACAAAGAAAGTAACCTGGGAGTACAATCCCTAAAATTACTTGAATATTTGTGGCATTCACTGCATACAAATAATAAAGTGCAAGCTTCTATGGCAGACACATGTAATCAGCCTGTGCAGAACATTTTTATCTTTTAGATCTTTTCAGAGTAAAGAGAAAGGGGAAAAAAAAGAGCACAACATACATTTTATGGCCATCCATAAAATGTACTCGTAAGTACTAATTTAGTAATATTGAAAAGTTAAGGTTATTTGTCTATAAATAACAGACACTAGAGACTACAAAGTAGTACCAGTATGCAAACCTACATTAGGCAAAAAAGGTAATTTTCTAGCAACTACCTTTTTAAGAAACAGATAATTTGCATCACTCCATAGTGTCTGGTAAGGCATATGCCTTACACTGAACATTAAACCCTCTGCAAAACATTAAGATTAGTCACTGGGACACAGAAGCATTACTTGCAAAGTTAAACTTCTCATACAGGAATGTGTGTGTATAACAACAATAACAAAAAAAAAATATGTAAGTACATCATTAAAGTCTTGCTACTTAAAATACAATATATGGCATATGATTCAGCGATGTGGGAAAGCATGAGTATGCGCTGGCAATCCACTCAAACAACAGGTAACAAAAAGCTTTCTTATGATTCTGAACACTATTAAAAGAAAGGGGTTACATCTCCAAAAGCACCTATTCAAAATGCTGCACATCCACAGCAGAAGCTGGGTGTCTCGGATGCAATTCACACCACCACATTATGTAGGAGAAGAGACACCCATCCTTGTCAATAGGAAGTTCTGCAGAAAGAGATGCTGCTTAAATCCTGTTCCTTTCCAGGCCCTGCCCACATCTTTAGGTATGTTGCAAGCAAGCAGCACAACGTTAGGGACATTGCACAAAAGCCACGAAAGAGGATCATGACCACTGCCTTCCACCTTTCTATCTCTGCAGAATTTTTAATGAAAGGCACAAGATCACTGTGTTTTGTGTAAAACCCAGTCCTGCAGGTATGTCACAAATGCACTCTGGACTTGCCTAAAGTATCAGAGAACGCACAAGCGGAAATGTATGGTTTAGGTGTGAAGTAGGCACCTGTCATTGGATTTAAATCCCTGAAGTATGTGACTGACAAAAACATAGGCACTAATAGGTTTAGATGGAAATTTCTGTGACAATACCCTTCAACTTAGAAGGACTTTAAAACCTGTTTTGGGAAAAAATAGAATAAGGAATAAAACTATCATGAATAAACACATTTGATAGCAGAAAAAAGACAGGCCACAAAAGTAGCAAGAACATAGTATCTAAAAGTCTCCTGCCAGCACTGACCAGTCAGGTACTGCAATGGACTTACGGCCATACCTCTCTACATCATTCTTCAAGACTATTTTGGAAGAAACATGCGTTGAGCCACAATGACCCACTACTTCTATGTAATTTAGATTCTCACACAATATTTAAAGGAGAGGTTTCTCTGCCTGTGGTCTGAAGTAAGTCTATTCCTGACAAAGTTCCTAGTTAAGGTTAGTAACATATAGCAACTCCAGTATTAACCATCAAGGATACATCACGTCCCAGTGAACAGCATTAAAGTAGGGGTTTTTTCCATAACAGCTTAGGGAAAGAGAGTTTGTAGTCCTGGCTTCCTAGGAATGTAAGGCTCCAAATTCAAAACTGTACAATGACTTCTCAGTAGTTTCCACTTCACATATTCCAACATCTGTCTTATCAGTCCTCCTTGACCTACTTCTAACTTACTCCTACACTGCTTTCTAAGAGCAAAAATCCAAAGGAAGTTTATCTTGGATGGTGAAGCTGAAAAAGAATATACAATCCTGATATTCATGAAAGTTATACTCATACAGGAGGAAACAGCAACAGTACTGGCATGATAGAGTAAGATCCATCCTGCCAGCAAAAAGACCTGGCAATGCCAAGCTTAGTAAATGCAAGCACACCTGGGGAATTAATTCTATTACATTAGAAACTGTGAATGGCATCCTGTTCCTTGGGTTTTTTAACTTATGATGCATACTGAGCTGTGTTTAGAGAATCTAGAATAAATTAAAGTGCATAAAATTCATGTTTTCAAACAGGTTCTGAAAATATAATACTAAAAAGGGCTGTCAATACACTTTTTCCCATTTAGAGCAGACTCATTAAGCAAAAGAATAATCGTCAGGAATTAAACAAACTGTTCCTATGCAACATAGCTCCAACATATTAGAACTCACGTGTTAATTCTTTTTTCCAAGTGAAAGATGGATTTTCCTCCTTCTATAAGAGGGCGATTAGAACTAACCAAATTTGCTGTAACAAATACAACATTCCCCCAGAGTCTACAAAACCAATTATCGATACCAGGAAGAGTAGCAGTTGCCTGGTATTCACCCAGTGATTTTCACCATTTCAGACATTTCAGCAAACACGTACAGCTTGTAAGTTTGCTTTGAATTCTTTTAATAACTTTAGTAAGTTTAAGCTCTTAGGCTGTTTAGCTCTTAAGTTTAAATACATGACACCCATCCAACTGAATATAATTAAAATGAGCTTATTAACACAAAACAAGTAAAACAAAATTCCACTACTGTAAACTTTTCTCACTGCTCTTCATATACACTCTCACTCTCTTCACACGCAAGTAAAATTAAAGGAGAATTTCAAGAAGATTCAAAAAAGGTATACTGTAAGTGACTCTGAGATTGAACTGGAATCATCATATGAGTACTTACTTGTCACTGGAGTTAAGTCCGTTTTAGAGAGCTAACAAAATTTGTCTCCTTTTATTCTTTTTAAACTTTCTTAGAAAGGTTATATAATTTATATTATATCCCAGAATGTATGACTTCACTTTATCCTAAGTGCACTAGTGAGAAGAATGATGTGTTCAACACACACTAAGTGGAGGAGAAGAATCAAGAAAACACAAACAGCTGAGGAAACAATCCATTTTGAGAAAACAGCAGCTAGTGGAGGGACCATCTGTTACAAATAAATTCTAAATTCAATATCCATTGTGAACATTCTTACCTGTAAGGTTTTTAGAAGAGTTTGCATCACATAGGTCTTTCCACTAGATGTATGCCCGTAGATGAAGATAGATGGAAAACTAAACTGCTGGCGCTAGGAAAAAAACCAGAAGTTGTTGCTGTTTTAATTCTCCTTCTTTTTCATTCAACAGATAACAGATTTACCAATGAAGTTACCCTCTTAAAGAATAGCTACCTTTTAAATTGAGGTATTAAAAAAAAATACACCAGTTTTTATGGAATCAATGTGATCAAGTTTTATGTTTCATCTTCACTGAAATGCTGGGAGAGTAAGTCCCAAGAATCAAGTATCACATAAAGCTAGCAGGGAAACTGCTTTAACATGAGTACACATTTTTCATGGGAAAAATAAACAAACAAAAAGATTCCACACACCAAGAGAAAAAAGTAGTGGACTCTTAATCCAAATTAGTTAACTAACTGAAACAACACCTTGGCAAGCACAAATCACAAGCTTTATACTGTCCTAACTTCTGCAAACACTACACACTGGTTTTCTTTCCAACAGCACCAAACAGAAAAGAATTAAATAGTTTGGTGGAGGAGATGGTAAAGGAGCTTGCTCTTCTCTCGCAGGGCAATATTTTATATAATCCTTCTACTTACTTAATGGTACTGATGCTTTATATCTCATGGGTTTATTTTTTTTAAGATGCAATGAAAATAATTAACTTGTTATTTTTATTTCATTCTGAATAGGCATTTATTTTTGGTTTTTTTCTCATTTATAAGAATCTTGATTTAAACAGTGAATGCGAAATTAAATCCGACAAACACTTTTCATGAAAAGTGACGATATTCAATTAATCCAAGATGAAGGCAATCTTGTGCAAGATGTGCAGAGACTCTAACCTGCATATTTAACAAGAATTTAAGTATCTATTTTTTTAAAGAAGACTTGTTGCCATTATGCTTGTAATAAATTCATAAAACTTAAATGCTGTAATTTGATGTAATTATTATCTATAATTAAAGGCAGAACCAGAAACAGATACTAATTTCCATTTTGTTAACTGAATATAAATTGATGCATCAACTGCTTTTAAGTTTGCAGATAAAAACCTCCATTACTTTTTACCATAGATTTACCAAACAGTAACAGAATCAATTAATAAGCCAGTGATTTCCAAATCTTATGGCCAGCAACAGAACCAAGAATCCAATCAACTCCATGTACTTAGAATTCAGGCATGCAGACATTAGATTAACAGGTCAAAACCAAACAAAATTTCTACACTCACACTGAAAAAAAATACCCCAGAACTTTAAACCAGGAAAGAAGACAGACGTACTTCCCTGTACTAAGTGGCAAAGATGAAACAGTCATGGAGAAGCCTGGCTTCAGAGACAGCAAGACACAAATAGCTGTAACTTTGTTTGGGTCCTCTCCGCTGCAAAACAGCTTTCAACCTTCAAACTTACTAGAATCTATCTGCCAAATACTCACATTAAAGATGGGCAACAAAAAAAAAAAAAAAGAAGAAAAGGGGGACAACCAAAGTATGCTCATAATGACACCACAAAAGCTCCCTTAAATTGCTGCTTTCCCCTCCGAGACAGCAGAACTTCTTTGTTCTATTCAAATGTATAATATAAAAGCTCTACCTCTCCAAATATTGACAGCAACATGGACACTTGGGATTCTCGACAAGGCACCAAACTTTCCAACTGAAGCAGTGTAGCTGCTGGGTACGCTGGATGTTCGAGGTTAGGCATTTTGATGTTCCTGTAGTTAGTCACCTAAACATGCATGTCCCATTTGAGGTGCAGAGACAAGAAATAAAGTGATCTGGAAAATAAAATGTTTTAATTATCGTTTGCTGTCATATACATACAGGAAGAAAATGAACAGGAATTGACATAAATCTAAAGAGACATTCCAGCTCACATTAATGGTATAATTATGATAGACTTAAGAGACTTCATCAAAATCGAACATTACTATGTAAGGCATTATACAGACATTTTCACACCAGACTGAATCCAAAAAATCAAATAAAAAGGGAAAAGCATACAAGGTATGAGCAAATGAATGTAACAAAGATTTGTCATAGTTTAGTTAACTGGAGAAATACATATTTAGTTCTGGTTTTATATAAATTTAAAAGTAGCAAGGGAATAAAATGAGGAAAGTGCATTAGCCACAGATCATCACTTCCCCGGACAACCAATAAACTAGGATTTACAAGTAACAGAGAAGAGGTAGAGCATAAGGAAAGATCAGGATGACAAAATAATAGCACTCCACATGTTAACAGGAACGCCTACCCCAGCTTAAAAGCAGCAGAGGACTATGAAGAAAACCCAGCTGATGGTAAGACTGGAAATACTCCTTAAAGTTAGTAGAAGACCAAACCTGTGAGATAAAGCTGTAATAATAATTACAGTCTACCTTTTAGGTAAGGACTAGTCAAGGAAGACTGAAGGTCTTGACTGTCCAAACACTGGGAAGGCTGGATTTTAGTGACAGAACATGGAAGAACATCTCAGTCAAAGATGCTACTTTGTCTGCAGCTTCTAAAACTGCTGGAAAGATGGTAATTTATCTGTAATGATAAGGATGACATGCAGAGAGAGAACTGAAGTGACCTCATGAGCTGGATTCTGACTTTGTGAAATGTAATGTACCTTGACACCCAAAAATGAAAGTTAAGGCACGGCAATAATTAAGGCAGGGCAATAAAGTTATCTCATCCACACATAAGAACATCTGTAAGTTATCAAGACAAAGATAATCAACAAAGCACTCCGAACATTTAAATATAAGTATTTACAGCCAAATGTGTTATGCTGGGCATAAGTACAATGCCAGATGAGAAAAGATTAGGTTAGCAGAAGGAGATCAGAAATAGCGTGGGAAATGAAAAGCAAACTGTTCTGAAGCAAAAAAGCAATACTGGGTTGCACTGACAGGGGAGCTATCGGGCTACAAGGAAGTTCATAAATACAAATGTATTTATGGAAATACTAATAGAGTTCGTTTTGGGACCAATCTCTATTAAGTATTTCCAAAAATACATTTGAGTAACTATTTTTTCTTTTATTTTCACATTTCGCCTTCAGTGTTTTCTGAAGTAAAAACTGGATTTGTGAAATCACCAACAGAAAAAGAAGTGGAATTAATAAGGAAAAAAAAAAAGGATTCCCCAAATAACGGAAGTAATGCCAGTATAATGAACTCCAACACTTCAAATTACACATATTTTTAAGTAATCATATCACACTTAACAAGGACTACAGCTAGACATCAAGAAACTGTAAGTCCAAAGCAACCTGAAAAATAAACAAATCAGAAGTATAATAAGTATGAGAAATCAAAGTAATGAAGCTATCAAAAAACCAAACATAATCATATGTATCGGGCAAATTATTTCTCATACAGACAACCATGCAAATATCCTTGGCTCATTTTATCAGATCAGCAAGATCAGCTTTGAACAGGTCAGCCCACCTGCCCACTCTGCTATTCAGGTATCTATTCAAAATGGATACAAAAATTTGAGTAGCTTGATAAAGTTTGCTCTCTAAAAATGAGCTAGGACTATCAAGGAAGAGAAGAAGAAAACGTAGACAATAGCCTCCAAAACAGAAGACAAACAAAGAGGGAACGAGTTTTAGAAAAGGCTGGAAAGTTTGCATGGAATTAAGAAAAAGGACAGCTTTTTTTTCTCCACTGAAGGGTGGAGTAAAATGAGGACAGGGTTTGACTAAGTGTCCTAAACATATCTAAAGGTGCTTCAGCTTCTCCACCTCCACCTGGTGCTGCGCTCCAGAAGGGCACGGATCACCTGTTGATCACACCATACCTGCCAGCCCACTTTGCTTCTCTAACACCCCGGCACATCTCAACTTACAATAAACACATTTAAGCCCCTGGGTGAAAATCTGCATCTCCACTGACTATATGTAGGTGTCTTAATCTTCAACGGGATCCCATCCTAGAGCTGATATGAGAAAGGATGTCTAGAGCAACATGTTTGCAAAACAATTAATTTAGATTAGATGGCAATGCTGACACAAGGATTAGTATCAGCCTAAGCCTGAATTTGGGATACTCCTGAGCAGTTGTATGAGTGACTCCAGCCAGGTCAGGAGGGGCCTAAGGCACTTTCTTTCCAGCCGACTCCAGGAAAGGACAGCAAAAGCACAGTAAGTTGTATTTCATGGCTGGATCTGATGATTTAGGAGGACTTCTCTCAGCTCATTCGTCCTAAAACACCTACACTCGGTATGGCTTTCTACACTTTAGCACGAAAGTTGACAGAACCGAAGAGGCTCACGCCGTTCTGCCTCAGCCCCTCGCCCCGCAAGGGCACCCCGAGGGGAACGACCATCCCCCGGCCCCCGGCAGCGCGGACCGGCTCCACGAAACCCGGGCTAAGGGCCCCCTCAGCCACGCGTCCGTGAGACTGAGAGCGGGGCTCGTCCCCGGGGGCAGCCCTCACCCGGGCAGCCCTCACCCGGGCAGCCGGGACCCCGCGGCGATTCCCACCCGGGACGCAGCAGGAGCAGGCCCATCCCGTCCCCTCACTCCCCTCCTCTCTCTCTCCACCACCACCAAGCACCACAAACCGCCCGGCCCCGCCACCCCGCTCCGCCCGGCCGCCTCACCCCGGCTCCCCACGCCCCCGCCGCCCGCGTACCGGCTGCCGCGGCCGCCCTCCGCACACGCGCAGACGGCCCCCCCGCCGCGCCCTCCGCGAGCACTGCGCAGGTGCGGAGCCCGCGCGCATGCGCCCTGGCGAAGTGAGGCCGGGCTGCGCCTGGCGGCGCGGGAAAGGGCGGGAAGGCGCTGAGGGGAGGCGGGAGGCTCAGCCGCCGTGTGGTGGGCGGACGGTCCCCCGGCAGCGCGGCACGGCTCCACGAAACCCGGGCTAAGGGCCCCCTCAGCCACGCGTCCGTGAGACTGAGAGCGGGGCTCGTCCCCGGGGGCAGCCCTCACCCGGGCAGCCCTCACCCGGGCAGCCGGGACCCCGCGGCGATTCCCACCCGGGACGCAGCAGGAGCAGGCCCATCCCGTCCCCTCACTCCCCTCCTCTCTCTCTCCACCACCACCAAGCACCCCAAACCGCCCGGCCCCGCCACCCCGCTCCGCCCGGCCGCCTCACCCCGGCTCCCCACGCCCCCGCCGCCCGCGTACCGGCTGCCGCGGCCGCCCTCCGCACACGCGCAGACGGCCCCCCCGCCGCGCCCTCCGCGAGCACTGCGCAGGTGCGGAGCCCGCGCGCATGCGCCCTGGCGAAGTGAGGCCGGGCTGCGCCTGGCGGCGCGGGAAAGGGCGGGAAGGCGCTGAGGGGAGGCGGGAGGCTCAGCCGCCGTGTGGTGGGCGGACGGTCCGGGGCTCCCCGGTGTGAGGCGATGTCTTATACCCCAGGGAGAGCGGTGCAGAGCGCACGTCCCTGGGCACAGGCGTTTGTGGAGCTGTGTGTTAGAGGCCTCAGAGGCAGCAGTTCCCTCAGGGAGAGGAGGGCGGTGGGTGGGTAGGGGGAGCGGCGTTGGTGTTGAGGGGTCAGGCCTAGACCCGGGGCGTTGAGTCAGAAGGAAGTTGTGGCTGCTGCTGTGGTATCCGCTAGTTTAACTCCAGCTATTTCCCTGAAAGGCACACGGACAGTGTGTGGGTAGCTGGAGATGCGGGTTTGAGTGTCAGCTTCAAGGTGCATCCTGTGAGGGGGCAGTGGCACGGGGCACAGGAGGGGTCTGGAGGTATCATAGAATCATAGAATGGTTGGGGTTGGAAGGGACCTCAAAGATCATCGAGTTCCAACCCCCCTGCCATGGGCAGGGACACCTCCCACTAGAGCAGGTTGCTCAAAGCCCCATCCAGCCTGGCCTTGAACACCTCCAGGGATGGGGCATCCACAACTTCCCTGGGCAACCTGTTCCAGGGTCTCACCACCCTCATAGTAAAAAATTTCTTCCTGAGATCTAATCTGAATCTTTTTTCTTCCAATTTAAAACCGTTTCCCCTTGTCATTACCCTTCCTGGCAAAGAGTCCTTCTCCAGCTCTTCTATAGGCACCCTTCAGGTATCCATGTCCATCCTCTCTTCACACCTGGAAAACAAACGTTAGATATAGAGAAGAGCTTAAAGAAAATTGACATGCAATTGTGCATATAACTTACACACGTTAGTACAGAACACAGCTTAAAGGCATGGCTGTGGAGTCTGCGGCAGTCAAACTTTGCAGCTGGCACCCTAAAAATGCACAACAATATGTTCAAATTACAGTTAAAGTTATCTTATGCACAGACGTTACACATTGTATTAGGGAGATAAGTATGACAACTGCATAGTGGCTTATGAAAGCTAAAGTGATACCCTTCCTCCACAGTCTGAGCTGGGTGAAATGTTAAATAAATAAAGCTTATGTGACTCAAGCATGATTTCTTTTTAACAGTCAGGTTTTTGTATATATATGTGTGCATTCACAATCATCATAGCTAGGCCTGAACAGAATTTCAGATCTATAATTATAAATTGTAAATTAATGGACCAAAACCATCCTGAGCAGAATTAGGAAAAGAGAAGCAGAAAAAGATGCAACTGAATCTGATTTATGGTTATATATACCAATTTGTGTACAGTCATCTTTTTAATATGGTCTGTTATTTATCACAGTTTTGCCAAAGCATAATAATAGTAATACAAAATTAATGTTATTGGGTTTCCATATATGTGGGCAAACACTGTAGTATTACTAATTCAGTCCACTTCTTTTTTCTTGTTAAAAAAATCTTAATTTGAAATAATAGGTACGTTTTAGGGCGTTGTGTCAATGCCTATGCTTCCAACAGAGTGAAATACTTTTTTTAGCTTTTGAAACTATGGAATCTGTTGGGGCAGATTCCTCTGCATGCAGATAGGCCATGTTTCAGAAAAAACAAATGCAATAACGGCAAAGAGTCTCAGAAAGTCCACATTTGTATAGTCTATAGAGCTGAAATTAAATACTTTGGAAGCAGTTCTTAGTAATATATTCTGCGTCTTCTGAGGATTAGTACTGAGCAAATCTGAAATTAGGCTTTGAGTTGAGAAAGAGTCCTAAAAGAGGTCTGTCTTTAAAGAAGTAGTTTTCACTTTAGTGATTCTGTAGGAGTGTTGATGATTCAGGCTGCAGTCCCTCCTGGGATCACTTCAGCACAATGTAAAACTGTCTTGCCTCAAAGAGGGGAGTCTCCCCGTTCCACCCCCACTTCCACTCTTTTTCTGGTCCTAGGATTTGGGTGGTTACAAAGAGAGCTAGCTCAGGGAACCGGTCCAGCTGAAATTAAACCAAACAAAAAAATAGCTACTCCAGTAATTGCAGCCTTGCTTCCAAAAGCCTGCTTATTAACTGAGCGGGACCACCACTCATTTAGCTCCTAATCTGGAATTCAAAAAAATGCCCAGTAA